CTTCTGGATATAATAAGAGGAACTTAGGGAAAACAGGCCTTGCTTCTACATTCTAAGTAAAAGCCTTGATCTCGCTCTTTAATTTTCATGCATGATCTTTTCCCTCTGTTTTTCTTTCCTCTTTCTTTACTCCTTCTCCCATTTCCTGGTAAAGATAAATAGTCAATTGCACAGAGTCTGGAATCCTCTGTGAGCAGGATTCCAGTTCTTCAACTTATTTATGATGGACATGGATTTACTTTTTCTTCTTATTTTGAGTTTCTATTTTTTTTATATTAAAAAATTTTCTCTTTTTTTTTTTTTGAGACAGGGTCTCACTCTGTCACCAAGGCTGGACTGCAGTGGCATGATCTTGGCTCACTACAGCCTTGACCTCTCTGAGATCAAGTGATCCTCACACCTCAGCCTACTGAGTAGCTAGGGCTACAGGCACACACCACCATGTGATAATTTTTGTAGTTTTTGTAGAGATTTCTGTAGGGGTTTTTCCATGTTGCCTAGGCTGGGCAATCAAGCAATCTGCCTGCCTTGACCTCCTAACGTGCTGGGATTACAGGCATGAGACACTGTGACCAGCTCTATTTATTTTTTGAAAATATTTGTTGAAATTTAATTAGCACTTCAGTGTTTTATAGAAAAATAATTTTCCAAGATATTAAGCCCATTGTATTATAAACACATATTATATGAAAAAAGTTATATACACTTTGTTTTCTTCAATACATTTCCCAGGGCATTAAAAGAAATGCAGTTATATTTTCAGTTATGACAAGCAAACATTCAGAAGACTTAACTTCTTACCAAGGACAAGTATAAAATGTGTATATATATATATATATATATTTTTTTTTTTTTTTTTGAGACAGAGTTTTGCTCTTGTTACCCAGGCTGGAGTGCGATGGCACGATCTCGGGTCACTGCAACCTCTGCCTCCTGGGTTCAAGCAATTCTCCTGCCTCAGCCTCCCAAGTAGCTGGGACTACAGGCATGTGCCACAATGCCCAGCTAATTTTTGTTATTTTTAGTAGAGATGGGGTTTCACCATGTTGACCAGGATGGTCTCGATCTCTTCACCTCGTGATCCACCCACCTCAGCCTCCCAAAGTGCTCAGATTACAAGCGTGAGCCACCGCGCCCAGCTTAAATAACCTTCTTGAAAGTTTTAAAGATCTACTAAGATAGCCAGGACTCGAGAATGTCAAGATCTTAGAAGGTAAGTTCAGAATACTCTTTCTGCTTTTACCCTTGAAGCACTAGTCAACTCCTAAGGAGCAATGAGCAAAAGACAAGGTGGCCAAACAGAAAGTGCAGGGCAGCTATGAGGCTGTGTCACAAAGCAGGGGTCTCTGTACAGCCATCATAATTAGAAGTCAGATGAGAGAATTCAGAGACTTTCAAAGAGAAGTTTTGGTAAAAACCCTCAAATCTCAGTTGGGACTACAGAAGCATTGTACTCCAGATATATAAAGTAGGGACTGAAGCGCTGCATTGAGTCAGCTAAACACTTATTTGAATTAAGATCTGTGCCTAATCTAAAAGCCTATCAGAGGCGGGGTGGGGATTCTCTGGGGGATCATTTGTCTTCTCTAGCCTCTACAAGTTTTTGTCCAAAATGTCCAGAATTCACCCAAAATTATCAAGACATCAAAAACAGAAACAAGACAAAAACTAGACAATGGAAAAGATCAAGAGATAATCCAGATACTGAAGTTAACTAACATTCTTTATAACTGTGATTATTATTTCCAAGGAAACAGCAAGATAAGGAATTTCACTAGAATATATCAATAGAAATTCCAAAACTGAAAATTGCAGTAACTAAAATGAATAACTAATTGGTATATTTAACAACAGATTGATCAAAGCAGAAGATTTTATTAGTAATATAGAAGATAAAGCAGTACAGAATGTCTAGACTGCAGCATAAACAGAAAAGATAAAAGAGGAGATAGAGAGAGAGAGGAGGAGGGAGAGAGAAAGAAAGAAAATAAGATACAAACATCTCAGACAGATGTAATTGGGGTCTCAGAAAGGAGGCAGGGAAATGCAAGACAGAGGCAATATTTTGAAGAAATAATAGTGAAGAATTTTAACTAATCTAATAATCAATTCATAGAAAAAGGAAATTTAGTGAAATCCAAAGAGGACAGATTCAATGAAAACTAAAATAGCCACATCAAGGTAAAACTGCTGAAAATCAAAGACAAAGAATAAATTCTCAAAAGTAACCAGAAGAAAAATACACTTTTCCCTTATAGGATAAAAATCAATTGCCTATTGATTTCTTAATAAACATGATGAAAACAATAGAATGACATTTTTTAAAGGCCAAAAGAAAATAACTACAAACGATATTCTCCATCAAGCTGAAATAGCCTTCAAAAATACATATAAAATAAAGACAATTTTCAAGCAAATAAAAGCTACATGATAATTTATTACAGCAGAACTGGGCTAACACAAATATTAAAAGGAGTCTTTCTAGCTGAAAGAATTTGATTCAGAAAGAAGCATGAAAATGCAGAGAAGGTAAATAATGTGAGTAAATTCAAGTGAATACTGACTGCAAAAACTATTAAATTTTGTGATTTAAAAATATATGTACACATATACACATGTATGTATGAAACTAAAATGTGAAGTGGTGGGAGGGGTTTAACTAACGTAAGTTATACATAAATTATAACATAAGTTGTACTTATATCCTCGTATTGTTTGGAAAGTGATATAAAGTAGTAATTGAAGTACCTAGGAGAACAAAATTAAAATAGCAGGCAATAGCAGAAAAACTGGAAAAATTTAACTTGATTAACCCAAAAGAGGAGAGAAAAAGGAGCATAAAACAAGTGGACCAAATATAAAACAGGGAGTAACATGTCTGCTACAATTTCAAATATGTCAGTAATATACAAGTGGACTAAATATAGCATCTAAAACTCAATGACTTCCAGACTGGATTTAAATACTAAAGAGAGAGTTATTACATATAAAGACAAAAAGTTTGAAAGTAAAGATTAGGAAAAGATATTCCATGAAAACACTAACCAAAAGAAATCTGGTATAGCTATATAGTACTATCACCAGAGAATGCAGACTTCCAGGCAAGAGGCATTATTAGAAATAAACAAGGATATTTATTTCATAATTTCAAAAAACCAATTTTAAGGAAGATAAAACAATTCCCAATCTATGTACGTTTAATGAAACAGCTTCAAAATATGTAAAACATGTATCTCTCTTCATTTTACTGGAATTCACAGTTCAGGCATGCTTATATCAGGCTAATTGTAGACACAGAGGAGGACAGCGGATACACCATAGACTCAACTCAGCCTATCATTAGCCAAAGCAAGTCACATGGCCGGCTCAAAAATCAGGGGTCAGGGAAGCATATGCCACTCACAGGCACTGGTAAGGGACAGGTGCGGAATTGGTGCTAGTGATGCAAACTAGTACAACATGTATATGTAAACAGTGATGGAACAGTTAAAGGACCTTTAGAGAGGTAGGTAGTTCTAGCTTCATTAGAACACCAATGAAGCAATACACACTTGGACAATCTCAGGAGTTATAAAAATTTCCCATGTCTCAAATTCTAATCAAGGACAGGCAAAATTTTGGAAGGGAGAAAATAAAATTTGCTTCGTTTGTCCAGTCACTGTTCATTTTGTTTCATTGGAAACCTCCATTTGCTGTCTGTAGTTCTTATAGAAAACAATATAGCACTCAGTTAATCCATGTGAAACTGCTAATATTCAACTGTATTCGATCTACAAAATTGGCAAATATATGTTTCACCTAATTATAAGTGGAGCTAGAATGGTGAATAAGAAAAGGACTCATTGGTAATAGCATAGCTACATAAGACAGAGTCTGAATGACATATAAAACTATTTGAAGACTAAGTTTTAAGAAAATGTAACAGAAAATGCATGAATAAAGAATTACCTGTGAATAATAAAAAAATGATTTTCACTTGGGACATTATAAAAGAAATCTTCATGAAAAGGACATTTTAGAATTCTGTTAATTATCTGGGCTGTACTCCAAGTATTAAAATTTTAAGAAAGAATCCTCCACTCCCAGGTCCCTTCCCCCATCAAATTTTCTACCATTAAGGGACAAAAAAAATGGTGAACCAAGCTCTTCTTGGTAATTTTTTAAGTCAGCTTTGATTACTCACCTTTTTCTTTTTTCTTCATGAATTATTGCCCAAGACTTACAAAGGAATAGAAGCCCAATTGCAATTTATCAGAAACGTGAATCCGACAAAAACCCTGTTTGTGTATTACCTAGTGAAAATACTAAAACACCAGCATGAAATGGAATATAAGCCCTTAAAATCTGCATTACTGGACTGGGAATTAAAGAGATGAGAAGGATACTAACCACCTGAGAAAACAACAGGAAGAGGACTCTTGTATTTTTTTTGCATTAATATAAAAGAAAGTGGAGTGATTTTAAAGAACTCTGAAATTGAAGAAAATTAAAGCTGGCACAATAAAAAAGAGGAAGGCACAGAATCAAAAACTAAATGTTTAAGTACAATACAATGCGGCTTGATGCTGTTCCTCCTTGAAGTAGAAAAGAAGCTGCTGCCATCAATCAATATAGCAATATATCAAAACAAGTATCAATATGAGTATCCTTTGTAAAACCTCGCCAGTTATGACTTATCAAGAAAATGGAATTGGTAGTCAGAGGACTGGAGTCCTCTCCCTGTCTCTGATGATTTGTAGCTACTGTACTGCCGGCCCTTGGTGTGGCTTTTCAGATTGCTCACCTGGAATATTTGGTGTTAAAAACTGCCTTTCTATTACATAAAGAGGCATCAAATATCAGATGGAAGAATGGAAATATAACTGTAACATCTTTTATTTTCTATTTTTACTAGAGTTATTATAGTTTTTAACACTAAAATATATAATATAAGATACCTTCCTTACCTGGATGGCTAATATAAGAGAGAAATAAATGTCTGAAATTTTGATTCATTATTCAGATTTTTTTAAATCATCTATCAGACTTTTTTCCTGAATGTCTTCATTCATTCACTCAGTGCAAGGCTATGGTGCACTTAGTATGTTCCTGGCTCTGTACTGGGTGCAGGTGTTACAGCAATGAATGTACTTTACCCTGGTGTAGCCTGCTGTCTAATGAGGAGGAAAGAAATTAGGCTGCTAATAAGACAGATACAGATACATTATAAAAAGTGACTATAGCACATGAAGTCATACTATCAGCTTCCTGGGAACTTACAATGAGGAACCAAATTTAGAGTGAGGGCCTAGGAAGTGTCATTCAAACGAAGATCCAAAGGAGGAGGTATAAATAGCCCGCTGAAAACATGGGGAAGGAGCATTTCAAGCAGGGGAGACCATGGGTGTAAAGGCTTTGAGTCAGTAAAAAGGGTAATACATTCGACAGTGGACAGGTAGCAGGAGACAGCAGCAAGACGTGGCATTGGAGAATTATTCAGGGACAAGCTCCGTCAGGCCTTGCTGGGAGTCTGGATGTTATTTTAGGAACAACAGAAAGCCACTGAGGTAATTAAACAGGGACATAATTGCATCAGTTCTGCATTTTTAAAAGATAACTTGAGTTGTAGTGTGCAGAATATAATGTAGTCAGCTCTGAACAGAGGCAGAGTGACCTAAACGTGGAAGGCAATTTCCATATTCTGAGGGATACCAAGTTTAGATTAAGTTGGTAGTAGAGCTAGAGAGAGCCGAAATCATGCAAGGTATAATTTGGAGGAAGAATACAGAATTTAGTGATTTACTGGACACAGAGGGCAAGGGAGACAGATGCATCAAGGACTCATAGGGTTCTGGCATAAGAACCTGGGAGTTCCCTTTTTGTTCTTGAGAGATGCCCTTGAAGGCCTGGACAGGCATTGGAGCACAGGGAGTTTATTTTTCTGTCTAGGGTTCTGGGAAACAATCCTAGAGTCCTGGGTGTGGCTTTAATCACGTTTGAATAATTGAAAGTGCATTTTTTTTCTTAGGAATCATCTTGATTATTGTGTGGACTAAAAATTGGAATGGTCAAGACTAAAGACAAATAGCTGATTTAGGAGGCTGGTGCTCATTCAGGCTAAGCTGGAGGGAGAGAGAGAAACTCAAAACGTATTTAGGAGATAGAATCAGGTTTGAGTCAACAGGTGGCTGCTGGTACTGTTTTATAAGATAGAAGACAACGGAGCCCGCCTTCCCGGGCCAGTGTGTGGAGGTCTCCGTGTCGCCATTGCCGCCCGCACCTGACCTGCCGCGGCACTCTCGGCTGCAGCTCTGCTCGGCCCCGCGATGCCGGTGGACCTCAGCAAGTGGTCCGGGCCCTTGAGCCGGCAGGAAGTGGACGAGCAGCTGCAGCACCCGCTGCATGTCACCTACGGCGGGGCAACGGTGGATGAGCTGGGCAAAGTGCTGATGCCCACCCAGGTCAAGAACAGACCCACCAGCATTTCGTGGGATGGTCTTGATCTACACCTTGGTCCTGACAGACCCGGATGCTCCCAGCAGGAAGGATCCCAAGTACAGAGAATGGCATCATTTCCTGGTGGTCAACATGAAGGGCAATGACATCAGCAGTGGCACAGTCCTCTCCAATTACATGGGCTCGGGGACTCCCAAGGGCACAGG